AAATTTTCCCATTATCCCCCCTTTTTCCCCTTTTTTTTAAAATTTTTCCCTTTTTTTTTTTTCCCCCCCCATTCAAACCCTTTTTAAAAACCTTTTTTAACTTTTTATCCCACTTTTGCGAGGAAATGCAAAAACGCCATTTTCCCTTTTTTACATTAAATTTAAAACAAAAAACCCCCCAGGCTAATTGTCGGCCGCCAGCTGCACTGGCAAGCTAAAACCCGGGGAACCCCGGCGGGGAAGGGGGAGGGGTTTCCCCAAAAGGGGCGGCGATCCCCCAATGGGGTTTGCAAAAGCAGGCGTTTGTCCGGGGTTTGAAAAAAACCCCCGGGAAGAGTGTTTCACAAACCGGAAATACGGGCTGACGTGACAGCGAACAGTGAAAAAGTTTGCGCCCCGTTTTTGTTTTTTTTTTACATATTTGTTCCCACTTAAATTTTTTGTTTCAAACTTTTTTAAATTTTACACAAAAAACCCTTTAATTACAAAATTTTTTTTTTTTTTTAAATTAAATTTTTTTTTTTTTTCTTTTTTTTTTTAAAAAGGAAAGAAACGCCCAAAACCTGGCCCTATTAAAAAAAATTTTAAAACAGAATGTCTTATGCCATCCAATGTATTTACTAGTGTCTAGCTGTGAATGGTCACAGCAGGTCACATGCACATGTCAAGTGATTAGCTGTGGGCCAAATCACAGCTAAGCACAAAAAAAAAAAAAACCCTGAATGAATCGATGTCATTATGGTAATCATAAAATGCTTGCTTATAGCAAAGTAATTTCTTTGCTATAAGCAAATTGTGTAAAAAAAAAAAAAAAATACTGATCACTTCCCAAAGTAGTACAATGTTACTATGGTAATACTATGGTAATACATACTATGGTATGAAAAAAAAACTAAAAAAAATTTTTTAAAAAATGTAATACAAAATTAAAAATAATAAAAAAAATATTTTTTTATTCATTTTTTTTGTATTTTTTAATTTTCCGAAAAATTATGACAAAAAAAACACAACTTTGAAATACTCGCCATGCCTGTTATGAAGTATGTTGGACAGTCTACTTTACATAAAGGGGTCATTTGGGGGATATCTGTCCTGTTCTGACATTTGGGGGATATCAGTACTGTGCTGACATTTGGGGATATCTGTACCGATCTGACATTTGGGGGATATCTGTACTGTCCTGACATTTGGGGGATATCTGTACTGTCCTGACATTTGGGGGATATCTGTACTGTCCTGACATTTGGGGGATATCTGTACCATCATGACATTTGGGGGATATCTGTACCGTCCTGACATTTGGGGGATATCTGTACCGTCCTGACATTTGGGGGATATCTGTACCGTCCTGACATTTGGGGGATATCTGTACCGTCCTGACATTTGGAGGATATCTGTACCGTCCTGACTAGAGATGAGCGAATCGAACCAGGCGAACCGGAATTCGAGTCAAATTTCAGGAAATATTCGATTCGCGTCGAATCCGAAATTTTGCCTACTTCGGGTGCGCGAATCGAATATTTCCCGATCAGCCGGCAAAAGTGTCCCTGCAGTGAGCTCCGCTATTTCTGACAGTTCTCTGACAGAAGGAACACATGTTTAGCGGTTGAAACATTGTATCTATTAGTTTACATTTAGGATACAGATGTTTCAACCGCTGTACATGTGAAGAAGCTGTCAGAGAACTGTCAGAAATAGAGGAACTCTGCACATACACTTTTTGCCGGCTTGGAATTATTCTTATTTTCATCCTACTTCTTCTTCATCCTCATCCTCTTCTTCTGAGGATGAGGAAGAAGAAGAAGAAGAAGAAGTAGGATGAAAATAAGAATAATTCCAAGCCGGCAAAAAGTGTATCTGCAGCGCTCCTCTAAGTGTATCTGCAGAATGTCATTTATGGAAAAAAATAGATACAAAAAAAATGTTTCAACCGCTGTATGGAGTGAATGTCCCAGAACTGTCAGAAATAGACAGAAACTGTCACAGAACTGTCCTTCTTCTCATCCTTCTCCTTCTTCTCATCCTTCTTCTCATCCTTCTTCTCATCCTTCTCCTTCTTCTCATCCTTCTCCTTCTTCTCATCCTTCTCCTTCTCCATCTTCTCATCCTTCTCCTTCTTCTCATCTTCTCCTTCTCCTTCTCCCTTCTCTTTCTTCTCATCCTTCTCCTTCTTCTCATCCTTCTCCTTCTTCTCATCCTTCTCCTTCTCCTTCTCCTTCTTCTCATCCTTCTCCTTCTTCTCATCCTTCTCCTTCTTCTCATCCTTCTCCTTCTTCTCATTCTTCTCCTTCTCCTTCTTCTCATCCTTCTCCTTCTTCTCATCCTTCTCCTTCTTCTCATTCTTCTTCTCATCCTTCTCCTTCTTCTCATCCTTCTCCTTCTTCTCATCCTTCTCCTTCTCCTTCTTCTCATCCTTCTCCTTCTTCTCATCCTTCTCCTTCTCCTTCTTCTCATCCTTCTCCTTCTTCTCATCCTTCTCTTTCTCCATCTTCTCATCCTTCTCCTTCTCCTTCTTCTCATCCTTCTCCTTCTCCTTCTTCTCATCCTTCTCCTTCTACTCATCCTTCTCCTTCTCCTTCTTCTCATCCTTCTCCTTCTCCTTCTTCTCATCCTTCTCCTTCTTCTCATCCTTCTCCTTCTCCTTCTTCTTCTCCTTCCTCATCTCCAAGGGCATTTAAATTAAAGGTACAGTGTTCTGCACTAATTTAAAGGCTCTCTGAAAGCCTAGAAACCCTTTTAATAAGTTAACTTCTTCTCATCCTTCTCCTTCTTCTCATCCTTCTCCTTCTCCTTCTTCTCATCCTTCTCCTTCTTCTCATCCTTCTCCTTCTCCTTCTTCTCATCCTTCTCCTTCTCCTTCTTCTCATCCTTCTCCTTCTTCTCATCCTTCTCCTTCTCCATCTTCTCATCCTTCTCCTTCTCCTTCTTCTCATCCTTCTCCTTCTCTTTCTCCTTCTCCTTCTCCTCATCCTTCTCCTTCTTCTCATCCTTCTCCTTCTTCTCATCCTTCTCCTTCTCCTTCTTCTCATCCTTCTCCTTCTCCTTCTTCTCATCCTTCTCCTTCTCCTTCTCCTTCCTCATCTCCAAGGGCATTTAAATTAAAGGTACAGTGTTCTGCACTAATTTAAAGGCTCTCTGAAGCCTAGAAACCCTTTTAATAAGTTAACTTCGTAGCGAATTAATTCGCATCGAATCGAATTTCATACTGGAATTCGCCGAATCAGCCGAATCAAATTTTTGAGAAATTCGCTCATCTCTAGTCCTGACATTTGGAGGATATCTGTACTGTCCTGACATTTGGGGGGATATCTGTACCGTCCTGACATTTGGGGGATATCTGTACTGTCCTGACATTTGGAGGATATCTGTACCGTCCTGACATTTGGGGGATATCTGTACCATCTGACATTTGGGGGATATCTGTACTGTCCTGACATTTGGAGGATATCTGTACCGTACTGACATTTGGGGGATATCTGTACCGTCCTGACATTTGGGGGATATCTGTACCGTCCTGACATTTGGGGGATATCTGTCCTGTCCTGACATTTGGGGGATATCTGTACCGTCCTGACATTTGGGGGATATCTGTCCTGTCCTGACATTTGGGGGGATATCTGTACTGTTCTGACATTCTTGGACCTCAAGAAATTAGATTGGCCATCAGTACTTCAGGATTGATCAATATTCAAATCTATACCATAGTTTTTGAACTCTATAACTTTCCCACAAACTAAATAATACATCCTAATTTGGGTTATTTTCACCAAAAGACATGTAGCAGAATACATCTCGGCCTAAATTTATGAAGAACAATTATTTATTTGTAAAGTTTTATAACAGAAACAAAGAAAACGTGTTTTTTTTTCAAAATGTTTGGTCTTTTTTTTGTTAATTTAGGAAAAAATAAAAACCCCGGTGGTGAGAGCGCTGAAACCTAAAAAAAGGCCTGGGCAGGAAGGGGGAAAATTGCCTGGTATTGAATTGGTTAACCACATTTTTGGAAAGCTGAGTTACATTTGCCACACCAAGGCCTGATTACTGCCAGACCTGTTGAATCAAGAAATCACTAAAATAGACACTGTCTGACAAAGTGAAGCATGCTAAAAGATCTCAAAAAGCAAAACATCAAGTCATGATCCATGATGAAATAACAGACATGGTAACACACGTGCTCAGAATAGCACCAGTTGCACAACTCCCGATGTACCCAGGACAATGCCTTTTGGCACACTGACTTATGAAGGTCAGTGCTGCCTGTGTGACTGTGCGTGCAGCCTTGTGCTGCCATCTGTTGGTGTGTTACAAAACTAGTCTTGAAAGTTTTTGATACCTTGTAGAAGAGAAGAGAAAAAAAACAACAGAATAAGATAGAAATAATTTCGATTTGGTCGAATTAAATTCAATTTGAACGAATTTGGAAAATTTCAATTGAATTCAAAAACAAATAAACAAAACTAATTCCGAAAACAAATTAAACAAAGGTAACAAAACAAAATTATTCAACCCCTCGCCTACAGCGCACTTATACCCCCTTTCCAGTCCAGGCCAAATTTCCAGCTTTCATCGCTATCACATTTTGAATGACAATTGCGCGGTCATGCAGCACTGTACCCGTATGAATTTTTTATTATTTGTTTGTGACGGATAGAGCTTTATTTTGGTGGCATTTTTATTTTTTCTTAAACAAACCAAAAAACACTGAAAATTTTGAAAAAACACATTTTTTCTTAGTTTTTGTTATAAAATGTTGTAAATAAGTGATTTTTCTCCTTCACTGATGTGCGCTAATGAGGCTGCAGTGATGGGCACTGATAGGTGGCACTGATGGGCACTGATGAGGAGGCACTGGTAGGTGGCACTGATGGGCATTGACAGGCATCACTGATGGGCACTGAAAGGCAGCACTCATATATGATACTGATAGGTGGCATTGACTGGCTCTGATAGGCAGCACTGACTGGCACTGATAGGCATCACTGACTGGCACTGATAGGCGGCACTGATAGGCAGCACTGATGGGCACTGATAGGTGGCACTGATGAGGAGACACTGGTAGGTGGCACTGATGGGCATTGACAGGCATCACTGATGGCCACTGAAAGGCAGCACTCATATATGGCACTGATAGGCGGCAATGACTGGCACTGATAGGTGGTACTGATGCACAATGATAGGCAGCACTGACTGGCACTGATAGGTAGCACTGATTGGCCTTGATAGGTGGCACTGACTGGCACTGATGGGTGACACCGAAAGTCAGCTCAGATGGGCACTGATATGTGGCATTGATGTGCACTGGTAGGCAGTGATATGTGGCACTGATGGGCACTGGCACGTGGCATGGATGAGCACTGAGAGCTGGCACTGATAAACACTGACTGGGGCTACACTGATCATCAGGGCACACTGATCATTAGTGCTCTGATGATCAGTGTAGATGTCCCCTCTAAGGAATGCCGATTACCGGCTCTCCTCTCCTCTGTCAGCGTGACAGCTCAAGAAGAGAGAATGGCGAATGCACAGTCGCCACCCTGGAGCCACGCATGTGCTGTTAGAATGGGGTGACGTCATATGATGTCCTCCCAGAATGAGAGAACCGCCTTGCGCCCGTCATTGTACTTTATGGCAGGCGGGAGGCAGTTAAACAATCAATCAAAACCTCATGCTCTATTCTATTCTATTCTATTTTTCTAGTCTGTTTCATTATTTTCTTTTATTTTCTGTTCTATTCTGTTCTGTTTTCCTTCATTCCTTTCTATTCAATTTGATTTTACTCCTGTGTTCAAATTCAATTTTGTATTTGAATTCAAATTTTGAAATTTTGTTTTGGGTTCATTTAAATACATTACTATTGTAGTTCAGAAATTTGGATACATCTGAATCTCCGAATAATGATTAATTGATCTGAATTTTGATTCGGAACAAAACGAACCACACCTGTCTATAATGTGAAGTAAGCAATAATCAGGAGCATGTCATGTTCAGCCCAGTGTAGGGAGTGCTGTGATCAGAAGCAGGAAAAATGCCAAACAATTTATAGAAGTACGGGTGTACCTCGGTTTACCAACGCCTCGGTTAGTGTAATTTTCAGTTTATGAATGAAATCCATTGAAAATAACGCCTCGGTGAATGCATTTTTAATGAATTTTTGTTCACAATACGAAGTGTATGTGCGGTTTTTAAATGCAATTGTGGCTTTTTTTTTCTTCACTATAGCTTACAGGATTAGCTGTCACTTTCCCCGGAGCTAAAGGAAACTTTGTTTCTTTTAAGAAACTAAAAGGAAACATTGCTTCTTTTAACTCAGAGAAATAAACTAGAAAGAAACTTTGTTTCTCTTAACTCGTGGAAATAAACTAAGAGAAAACATTGTTTCTTTTAACTCCAAGAAATAAACTAGAAGGAAATATTGTTTCTCTTAACTCATGGAAATAAACTAAAAGGAAACAATGTTTCTTTTAGCTGGGAGAACGTGACAGCTGAATCCATGAGCTATAGTGAAGGGAAAAAAAAGCAGTAATTACATTTAAAAACGGCACTGACCTATAGTGACATCAACTTTTTTTCTACTTTTTTCTGACCTCCAGAACGGATTAATTGGTTTTCAATGCATTCCTATGGGAACCACATTTCGGTTTCCAAATTTTTTGCAAAATTAAACCGAGGTACACCTGTATGTAACATACAATAGTAGCAGTGAATGTACTGTGCAAAACTGCTCACCCTTGTACCCTCCTGCCTCCAACACTTCTCACCTCTGCACTCCCTGGAACCTTAATTCCACACTGCTCCCCCTGCAATCCTCTTCCAACGCTTCTCACCTCTGCACCCCCTGGAACCCTAATTCAACACTGCTCCCCCTGCAATCCTCTTCCAACGCTTCTCACCTCTGCACCCCCTGGAACCCTAATTCCACACTGCTCCCCCTGCAATCCTCCTCCAACGCTTCTCACCTCTGCACTCCCTGGAACCCTAATTCCACACTGCTCCCCCTGCAATCCTCTTTCAACGCTTCTCACCTCTGCACTCCCTGGAACCCTAATTCCACGCTGCTCCCCCTGCAATCCTCTTCCAACGCTTCTCACCTCTGCACCCCCTGGAACCCTAATTCCACGCTGCTCCCCCCCTGCAATCCTCTTCCAACGCTTCTCACCTCTGCACCCCCTGGAACCCTAATTCCACGCTGCTCCCCCTGCAATCCTCTTCCAACGCTTCTCACCTCTGCACCCCCTGGAACCCCTAATTCCACGCTGCTCCCCCTGCAATCCTCTTCCAACGCTTCTCACCTCTGCACCCCCTGGAACCCTAATTCCACGCTGCTCCCCCTGCAATCCTCTTCCAACGCTTCTCACCTCTGCACCCCCTGGAACCCTAATTCCACGCTGCTCCCCCTGCAATCCTCTTCCAACGCTTCTCACCTCTGCACCCCCTGGAACCCTAATTCCACACTGCTCCCCCTGCAATCCTCTTCCAACGCTTCTCACCTCTGCACTCCCTGGAACCCTAATTCCACACTGCTCCCCTGCAATCCTCTTCCAACGCTTCTCACCTCTGCACTCCCTGGAACCCTAATTCCACACTGCTCCCCCTGCAATCCTCTTCCAACGCTTCTAATCTCCACCTGGAACCCCCACTGCTCCCCCTGCAATCCTCTTCCAACGCTTCTCTCCTCTGCACCTCCTGGAACCCTAATTCCACACTGCTCCCCCTGCAATCCTCTTCCAACACTTCTCACCTCTGCACCCCCTGGAACCCTAATTCCACACTGCTCCCCCCTGCAATCCTCTTCCAACGCTTCTCACCTCTGCACCCCCTGGAACCCTAATTCCACGCTGCTCCCCCTGCAATCCTCTTCCAACACTTCTCACCTCTGCACTCCCCCTGGAACCCTAATTCCACACTGCTCCCCCTGCAATCCTCTTCCAACGCTTCTCACCTCTGCATCCCCTGGAACCCTAATTCCACACTGCTCCCCCTGCAATCCTCTTCCAACGCTTCTCACCTCTGCCCTACCCTGGAACCCTAATTCCACACTGCTCCCCTGCAATCCTCTTCCAACACTTCTCACCTCTGCACTCCCTGGAACCCTAATTCCACACTGCTCCCCCTGCAATCCTCTTCCAACACTTCTCACCTCTGCACCCCCTGGACCCCTAATTCCACGGCGCTCCCCCTGCAATCCTCTTCCAACACTTCTCACCTCTGCACCTGCTGCAATGTTCCTTCAAAACTGTCCCATTTTTCTGAAATCCTCTTCAAGTACTTCTGATCATGGACTGCTCCTCATACACTCTCTTCCAAAATTGCTCACTTTTGCAACCCTGATCTCCCCTTCCCCGTCTGCACCCCTCTTCCAGCACTTCTCACCTCTGCACCTGCTGCAATGCTCCTTCAATACTATCCCCCCCCTCACCCCCCCCTTCGAAATCCTCTTCGAGTACTCCTGATCCAGCACTGCTCATCATGCAATCTCTTCCAAAATTGCTCGCTTTTGCAACCCTGCTCTCCCCTTCCCCCTCTGCACCCCTCTTCCAGCACTTTTCAGCTCTGCACCTCCAGGGAACCGGAACATGTTTACAGGATATCATCTGCAGTCTACTGTTTGTCATTTATGCGATCTGCAGTTGCCTATCAAATTACATTTTTTTATGGTTTTCTAAGAAGTGCTAAGCCTAGC